TGTGATAAGCAAAGACATTTTCTTGAGTTTCAGGCCAGTGGCTTATTCACAAGATATTTTCCTCTTTGAAAACAGGTCTTTGCTCTTACTGTGTTGCTCTATTGATCAATCTGTTTTGAGAGAGAGTGAGAGCTCAGAAAAAGGAAGTTTCTTTTTTACTACATTAAAATCACTGAATCTGCCTGAGCCAGAGATGATTATGCTGCAAATGGAAAGGGTTTTACCCTAAGTATCTTGTAAGCTTTTCTGGATGCTCCTGCAACACACAAGGAAAGGAATCAGCTAAGCTACCAGAGGCTAACAACCTTGCAGAACAACTCCTCATGCCACAGGGAACGAACACATTGCCTCCTGACATGTCTTTGCCCACATCAGTGAATATTTTGTGTCTGTACTGCAAAAGGAAGTAGGGAAAATGATCGAATCTTGCCAAGCTTGAAGTGCAGGGAGTATGTGAAACACACAACCTTCAGAGCAATCCCAGCACTATTGCGGCCTGTGCTGTCTGCATACATAGGCATATTTATTTCCACCGCACTCAAGAGGAAGTGCTTACCCTTCAGTGGGGCAAGAAGAGGCCTGGAGAGTTTTGTCTTTTTCTATTTTTCCAAAGGAAATAGCTTTGTAAAGGATTTTCAAGTCCTCTAGGCCACCCATGGAAAATTGATCCACATACAGAAATTTCCTTTAGAAATGTGGTACACAGCAATGGTGAAAGAACATTTTCAGCTCTGATCTGTCCTTCCTCTGGACTTCTGCAAAAGCTCATCTTTTTGTGCCTTACTTGTCCACATAGAATTAAAGCAACATTAATTTTCCTCCCTGCTTGTGTCCATTGGCCTCTCTGGGACTGAGAAATTCCAATAAATCTTTTCTTCTTTCTAGTTTAAAAATGACTTCTTAACTAGCCTGTGACTGAAAACATAAGAGTTTTGGTTGGTGGCCACTGGCGGAGGTGCACAACATTCTGAATAAAAAAACCCCACTCACTGTGACATTGCAAACTAAGTCTAGTTTCCCACTGTACAGTTTAGTAACTCTGGTGTTCAGTAATAGCAAAAGTTTTGTTAATAACAGATGCTCACAGAAGTCAGAGGCACACTACCAAAACCTACTTGCTCTTCCAAAGAGTAATAAAAATTTATCAAGAACAGGATGCTGTTGTGAGACTGGCATGAGTTCTTTTTGCCCTCTGGTCTAGAAACACTAAACTAGTCGTACCACTTTCCACACTGGACAGCAACAGAAAGTCCAGAGAATTTCTCAGAGAAAGAAAAGGGTGGAGGGATAATCACCATTCACAACCCCTGGAATAACTAAAACTAAAACTTATTTTTCTCCATTTAAAATGTTGCGTCCCATTTTCCCATACTATATTTTATCAACCAAAGTTTTTTTGAAAAATTTTGTTTCTCCAAATTCCCCAAATGGAAGAAGTAGGCGACAATAAATGCACTAGAGTATATGTTCTTTTGTTTCAGTTTGAAATTCTGAATAGATTATTCCATTTGCTGTGCTTTAACTTTCACTCTCATGAAAATCCGAAAGAAGAGCTATTTACAGCAATTATTTCCCTACCTTCCATTCATGTCTAAAACAGTGACAAAAACATAATGGATCACTTTTTTCATTGAATAAACAACCCACAAATGCAACTTTATAAGGTACATTCCCAGGAAACAGATCTATAAACCTAGTAAATGCACCAAGACCCCATCAGGGATGTTTGAACTAAATCTTAATTTGTCATTCATGAACACTTCACATGCCCCTCTAAATGAGTTATGTACTGCATCATCGACAGGAAATATAACAGACTGCACGTTGGAGATACCGAAAAGGGCTTGTGGGAGTGTTTTATTGAACACTGCACAGGTGTTAACAATAGAGTGGGTAACACAGATCAAAGGATTGTGCAGAACCCACTTGATAAGTTACAAACTGTTCTTCATCTGTCTTGTCTGATAATAAATTGCATGTCCATTCTGGTTCTTCTGTCCACCCTGTGAGTGATACTTCAGCAGAATAGAGGTGAACAGCAGTGACATCACTGCTAGCTTGACTCTACAGCTTCAATCACAGATGGTTTTTATGACAATTTAGAGTAAGTTTCCGGCTGACCTAAATTCTGATGGTGACAGGTTTGGCATGAAAAGAGCCTCTTCCAAACCAAATTCAATTTCCCACTTTTATCAGGCCTTCTCCATGATGGGGATGGCACAGTGCCAGTGAGAGATGGCCCAAATGGACAACATCTCAGCACCATGATGAGACTGGGTACTCAAGTATCTGAAGGAACTCTCAGCAATGCAAGCCAGCTGAGATAGAGAAGTAGGGAGGGAGTCACTCCGTTTAGCAGGTTTGCTTCCAGGCCTCTAAAGGATATCCCACAGAGAAGTTGGACAGTAGTAAGTTAGTTTTCAGATGCAGACGTTTCTTCATAACAGTCACTAATCTATGTGAGGAGGGAGATTTGAGGTTACTATGTGACTGACAGGATGCAATGGTATCTTAATAACTGTACATCCACTTTCTCAATCTTCCCTCTCTCCTTTTCCATCCTCACTGGAGCTGTAATATCTATCCTGATTATCAAATGAGTGTGTGAAAGACCAAATGATTGGATAGATAGTGTTGAGCTCAGTAAATTGCTCTTTTCTTTTTTCTTTTTTTTTTCATTTTGCAGGCTTTCTTCCTAATTTTCTGTACGCTTGAGAGCATTGCTTCAGATATGTAGTCATGGTGGCAAGTGCTGGGCAGTGGGCTGAAACAATTTTATCTTGATGTGTTAAAATAAAAGTGCATTACAAATGGCAGCGACAAGGTTTTAGTATTGGCAGTCTTTCTGAAAACAGGATGTGAAAAATGTCTGCCCACTGGGCCCAGAAGTTGTCACTGTACTGACTGTGCTACAGAGGCACTTGTGTTTTTTGAGACCAAAGAAACAGATGGAGATAGAAACACTGATTTCCATGTCTACATTCTGTTAACATCTTCTCAGCTTAAAGTTCGCTTCACGTCCTTGAGCCTTCCAAATAGCACAGTAATGAATATGGAAAAAAAGTGCATGTTTTTGACTCAGCATCAACAGAGTACAGCTCAGTACTCTGTGAAAAGAAAAGTACAGCCAAAGAGCCCTCCTCCTAAAGGTTATTATTTTTGTCTGCAGAACAGAGTCACATAGCAGACATGCCATCTAGTATGCTAGGCATTGCGCTGACAAACCTTGGGGGCAATTTTTACTCTGAAGACCTTATAGAAAACATGAGATTGTTTTGCTTGTTTTATAAATGAGCAACAGAGGCAAGCAATGACTGAGGGACTGCATCCCATTCCAGCATTCAAACCACAGGAATTGTCTCTTTCTCATAACTACCACATGTAGGAAATATTGCCTGATTGCTGACTCATGGTATCTGAGCAGGAAAGTGAGGTACTTCAACTGGGAAAGTTCAACCTACTAGCACACAGGGCAAGAAAATGAAAGCATTGCATTCAGGCACTTGCTTTTTGAAGTTTTGAAAGTGGATTTTTTTTCCAGCCTATTAATTTTTTCTTCAAATCAGCCAGTCCCACAAAGATGCAGCTCCCCAGGCACACACCCTGCTAGCAAACCTTCATCTGCAGAAGGTCCCTCCTTATGCTATATGCAAATCCTTCTGGAAGCTGGGATCATTTGACTTATAAGGTTCTTGCCTCCTATACTCAAGTCATTCATCTAATTTACATGTATTCAGCTGGTTGTTTGTTTGCCTAGCATGCTAAGTATCAGTTTTTAGAAAGATTCACCATCTATATATGCTCTTTACAGGATGTGCTCATGTGTTACACGAAGGCCGTTTCACTGTTTACCTCCTGCTGACTCCCTGGAGAGGATTGTGATGAGGTCTCCTAGGCACCATGTGAAGACTTATTTCCATGCTGTATACCATGTGCGATAGTGTGCTTCTCTATCAACCCTTGCTGTTGGGCTGACCCCTTTGTTCTATGGTTTTCTCTCACTTTTCTTGGCAAATGAGATACTGACGTTGGTTTGCATGTTTTGTGTTCACCAAAATAAACAAATTATGAGCAGTACACAGTACAGTAGGGTGAGTGGGTTAGAGAATTGTCTTACACACTGTTAGATATCACTGAAAGAACAGCTTCATACATCCTTCCAGAGTAAACTGGTCTCTGGCCACAGCTGTGGCATAATCCTTGGTGACATATAACTTTAAAACTCAGGTTCAATCAAACAGAAAGTTGCTCTTAAAAATAGTACCCACCATGTAGGGAGGAGATAAAGAAAAGATAGTTTCCTCTTTTTTTTCCCATAAAATCTTTCAGATTTTCAAACATGGTGTTTGAAGATACATATTTGTGCATTCCAGTATATATTTGTATTTGGAATCTTAAAAAAAGCAGCTAGACTTTCAGAGATGATGACTCAACTTTTCAATGATGATAACAGGGTTTGGATCAGGCCCCCTGTTTGTACATGTCTTGTAGGTAAACAGAAACTTTAACATCTATTGCTTGTAATCCTCTCATACATGCAGAGAACAAAATTCACCATGTGAAGTAAAGAAGGAATAAAATAAACATACAGGTCATGCTTGCCAACAAAAGCAAACAGCAGGCCCTCCAAAGCAGCCTAAAAACCTGCCTGTGAACAGTTCTAGAGTCTCAGTGCTGTTTTAACATAACAAACCCCTTCTGGGACTACCATGGTAATTGCTGCAAGAAAAATAATTTTCATCTGGTAGCTAACTATGCTGTATTTCAAGCCAGTGTCTAGATTATCCTTAAATACCTTTGACCCCAGGGAAATTTAAATTTAACCTTCCATAACATTGCATTTGCCAGTTCCAAATTACCATTGTCATTATTTTGAGTTATATGTTTGATAGACTATATGACCTGGTATAGATAAGATATGATTGAGACTGGTCAAAATAAACAATTGTTTCACAAGCTGTTCTGGGAACTGATCAATGTGTTTATGTCGTATCTTGCAGAGCTGACTGATCAAATAAAGAAGAACAACAGAGGTTTTCATCCCTCTGCTTTCATAAGGCACCATTTCAGCCTGTACCTCGGACTTCTCCCTATTTACAGCTGCAGATAACACATGGCTAACAAGAGCGGGGAAAAAGGCTTTCTCCTGAACAAGAGTTACTCCACATATTGGACTGTGGCACATTCAGGAAGAAAATGACATTATCTACTCACACTCCCTTGAAATCCAGAGGACAGAAATGAATGGTTTCTCTCTAGCTGCTGAGTAGCATCTTCACTGTAATGTTGTCCACAGGGTAAAAGTCATTTTGTCATGATAGTAGTAAAGTATAAGCACTAGACTAAGTTCAGTAACACTCGTATTGAGGGCGGTGAAAACAGGGAGAAAAAGACCTACAGCTTATGAAACCCTGGAGAAAAAGCTAAGAGTTGTGTAAAAAGATGCTAGAATTAGTAAGGCTCTCTATTTGCCCTTCAGCTGTCCTCTCTTTTCTATTAAAGCTTTGGGGAAAAAAATGACAACAGTTCATCTATTTTATTAACATCTTTTCTTCCCAGGAGAATTAGATGGGTGCAGACAGCAAGGATAGAGAGGATTATTTTAGGCTAGTACCTAGGGTATTAATTATATACCTAGGGTATAATTAGGGTATAGATAAGAATCCTGGGATAATTATAGGAAATGGAAAACCAAGGCTGAATATTTGAAAAAGTTCTTTCTGTCTGTACTGAGCTGTAGAGCTGCCCAAGAGAAATGCTCATTGTTTTGCATATGTAAAAAAGTGATGAAGTATAAATTGGGAAATATAGCTTGTAAATTTCTTAGCTTTCAAAACATGCTGCTCATGTTAAACTCCAGATGATCCACATCTGTTGGTGTCCTCTCGTTTTCACTTGTGCCTTTCTGGTATCAGAAATATAAGAAAAAGAGATTGACTTTTAAGAGTTGTTCATCCGCTTGAAACCCAGAATCATTTGCTTTTCCATGTATCCTTTCTGCTACTGTTTCTGTTTCAATGACAATTGCTCAGCTCTTTTCCCCTCATAGTGTCCAACCTGTTGTTTAGGGAAAATGCAAGCTCTGCTGGGCACTACATTACAAGGAGCAGACTTTCTGTGGAAGGAAGATGGTCAGATGCAGGAACAAGTCTCTCCTAAGTCTAACCTTGGGGATTATCTGAAAATGGTAAGAAAAATTCAAGAGGAGGAGCAGGAGGAGGAACATGAGGAGGAAAGGAATGAATCCCCCTACTGCTACTATAGGAAAGCTGGTCGGGATGAAGCTACCGTGCACTTGGCTGTGAAAGAGGCTGTATTCTGACACACCGTGTATCATCTTGCTCAGCTGGCAGCATGGACATAAGCAGAAACCCTTCCAAACTGCATTACGTACAGGGAGGGAGGACTTATAGGTGCAATATCATGGTAGCTTGGTTATGTGCTTTAATGCTTCTTTTTGCTGAGCTCCAAATCCAGAGCCCAGCCTATCAGTAAACTGCAGTCCACTGATCTGTCTGAACATCCCTGAGGTCTTCCCACACCCTCTGCAACTATCCCTTAAAACTATTGTAGGCTCTCATCTGCCCCAGAGTGGGAACAAGGGTATCCAGGTGAAGCAAAGACAAAAGATGTGAAATGTCCTTTTGATGACCACGGGGAGTTGATCTGTGCCACTAGTATTGAACAAGACTGGGTTACTTGTGTACCTTTTCCTCTGGCGGTACCTGGTAGTGCATGCCACTTGCTTAATCTGAATATTTTGAGGGCAGAGAAAAGCAAAGATTGAAAATTGCAACTAGTATTTTGAATGGCAGAAGAGTGTGTCCCTGTTTTTCTTTTGTTCTTTGCAGGAAGATAATTGCTGTCATCTTTCTGGGAGAAAGTGCCCTCGCAATTGAATCTCAGGAGTTTTATAACATGTCTTAAAAATGGTTTGTTTATTATTTTGGGTTTTCCTGTTGTTCCTCCCCTCTCTCCACTGATTTGCTTTAGAGAAACTAAGTATACCATACATAAACAGCTAGAGCAAAAACTACTTGGTTTTTTTTACTCCAGATTTTTACATACGTTTTTAATGACTTTCAATCAGAGGCAATCTGTAGTTGTAATAAAGCAGTGGATGCTTATTATTATTGCTATTACATTATTATTATTATTATACCGTACACTATTATTATTAAATTGTAAACTTGAACACTGCAGTGCATTTTTACAATTTTGTGATATTTGTGGGTATTTGGGGGGTTCATTTACATAAAACAGAGAACTGATGGAGTTTTCATGCATCCTACAATGAATTTCACTTTGTAGATTTGTTTTACAAGAGTAATGTCACTCATTTTTGATTACCTCAGTAATTTGCTCTGCCTCTAGTTGGTCACAATTTTAATTTAAGGAAAGTATTCAATGTCTCAGAGACACTGGCGGATCTTGCCAGTGAATCCCACTGCCTGTGGGAAGTGCTGATTGATATTCAGAGCTTTAACACTTCCCATTTTGCTGAAGGAGGAGCTTCATCACAGACATTCTAGCTCTTCGGTCCCTATTTTTCACTTTTTTTACATCCCAACCACGTGTCTCGTGCTGTGCCACAGCTACAGCACTGAATTCCTCATCAGAGAGCTCTCTGAAAGCAAGATAATACTTTTGCAGTCTCAGCAGTTACTGTGTCCTCCTGGAGGTAAAATATCACTTGTGGGGATCGACAGGACCTACATTCTCCTTGTTTTGTGCTGCTTTCTTTGGTGCAATAAAAAAAAACGTTTCTTGAATAAAGGGCATTTGTTTAAGGTTGTACATCTTACTGTGCTCTGATACAAATACTAGTTACTGAATAGACAGATTTCAAAACCATCTGAGCATCTGTACGGGTTACTGCATGAAGGGCAGCAATCGTGTCTGCTGTGATCCCAGGTCAGTAATGGTTTTGAAGGGTTTCCAGGAACACCCACACATCTGTAGAGGACAGCAAGTCACAAGGTACATAGGTATGAACAGGAGTTGAGCAAAGGCGAAAGTCTTCCAGGTGTGAAGTTGATGGCCCCATTCTTTGAGTTCTGGTTTACAGGCAATCCATAGCTATGCATTTGCTGAACAGGATCAGTCAAAGGGATGTTTGAATGCCTGCAACAGTTTGACCTGTGATTTTTGTCCTCCTTGTGATGAAGTTTGTCATTCCCAACTGCTCACTTCATGCTTTACCTACCAGCTCTTTCTCTTCTTGTCCTGGGTGAAGTTTATATACTTCAATCGTACTCAATCAGCTACTGCTTAACTTAAAATCTTGCTGCCAAGCTGAGCAGAAAGCCTAGAAAGCAATGCACAGACTGTCCCTCCAGCACCACAGAAAGAGGGACATCAGAAACGTCTCCTTCACGCTCATGCTTTCAGCAGCTTCCCCCAGCCAGCTAAAGGATGAACCTCGTGTTTCCTCCTGAATATGGCTGACATGGGCCACGGCAAATGTGGCATTGGAGCAGTGAGAGTTTCTGATTCTCTTGGCTTTTTTTTTACCTCAAGAAAGACATTTTACCAGCTTTTGGCAAAAGCAAACAAACAAACAGCTTTGGTGGAAAGGTGGGCCCTGAGGCCCTGGCATAGCAACAGCTTCTGGCAGAGAGGTTTGCAAAAAGCCCTGAGGCCCCAGGGGTGGGAGTGGTCTTTCAGAGTTTCTTGGAGACTTGAAAAGTGAAGGACAATGGATTTAATCTCCAGACAGGTTATTTCTATTAAAGCTCACAGTAGAGGTGGCTCTGTGAAAAGCTTGGGCACCTTTGCTCCCTCTGAGTCCCCAAAGAAGATACCACCATAGCCCGATGCCACATGTGTGGCAGGCTTGAGGAGCAGGGAGATAAAGGAAGCCCTAAAACGCAGCTCAAGAAAGTTAAAGCAGTGATGTGGAGAATCACTTCACCATGGTGAAGGCCTGGTGGAGGACATGCTGGCAGCCCAGGGCTCCCAGGGAGCTGTGTGGCAGACCTGGGGGGGAGAGCAACAGGTAGCAAATAAGTAAGCAGCTGTAGCGGTGGGGAATGATGGGATTGAGACCAGTGGTTTCGTGGCTGAAGTGGTGCATCCTGACACCCAGATCTGTGATAGTTGTGGAAATGCTGCACATCAATGAGGGTAATGGCTGGAGGAGGAAATCAGAAACTTGTTACCCATTCTGTCACTCATCGTTGCTGAGGGAAGGCTTGGACCGTGGCCAGCGTGCTCTGGAGGCTGGTAGTTTAGCCATAAGGGATTATTAATGTGCTCATATTTTCCTTCTATTTTTTGTTCCTTTCTTCCTTTTTCAATAGATGCTCTACCATTTAATCCATGTACTTCTATCATGTGAGCAAGGAAAGAAATACTGCTCCATGTGCACCCAAGCCACAGGTTTTCTGAGATTTCTGAGTTTAGAGTCTATGCCAGTGTTTAAACATTTCAGGAAGAATTCCCTAGAGGTCCCTCACGACTGCCAAAAAGCATCATAGCAGATGGGTTGCAACTCCATGACTTGATACAAGTGAGGGGGAGGACATGCCTTCATGGCATGTCACGGCCCTGATTCCTCCCAACACTCACACTGCTCTTCGGCAGCAGCCACTGTGCTGCCGGGCTCACCCTGCCCAGCAAGGGGAGCCCTCCCAGAGAAACTCTCCTGGCACGTGGCTATTGATCTCACCAAGTGTTGCTGTAAGCGATCACTTACACCGTGGTCTGTAATCAGGATGAAGCTAAGATTTATTGAAGTTCCCCTTCACAAGAGCCAGGGGTATTTATCTGAATTCAGTGGGTCCCCATTTTCCTGGTGACAGGACTGTGCAGATCCTCAATCACCTCCTTTCTTATTTTCACAGCAGCAGACTTTTCTTCTTGAAGACTAGAAGGGCAAAGGCCTCCAAAACAAAAACCCTTGTCAGAGGTTAAAAAAGCTCAAAACATTAATTAAAACAAATAACTAGGGACACGGTGAGAATGTTTGCCCACTAGGCAGGTTCTTGCAAGCTGCATTTTTCAACATTCCAGAAAATAACCACTGAAAATTTTGCCTTTTTTTTTCAAGCATCTACTTGTAAAGTCCTCTCAGTAGCATGGCAGTTTATCTCAAACATTTAGCACGTCGCTATTTGCAAAAAGGCAGTGAATATTTTCTTAGCACATTCTAAATTATTTGAAGCTTTTTGCTAAAATAACAAATTAATGCTCACCTTAGCCAAACCCACAAATATTTGTACAATTAAACAGCAAGCTTTGTAGTCAGAGTAGAAAAAGCATTCTCTTGTATTTTGTGGCGCCAAGCAGATTTTTTGTCCCACTAGAGAAAGTTAGATTAACCAATTAGATAAAAAAGAGTAATATCAAATGTATTAAACAATAAATTAAAGTCTACTTTTTTTAAAAATGCTTAGTTCGTTAGCTTTGACATTTGGAAAGACTAAAGTGCTGTGATGGAAGATAAGGTATTTCCTGGCCATTATACTTATGGGTTTTAGAGGATCAGAGAGGGCAACTGTAGCATGCAGGTGGATCAAAACTAAGTGAACAAAAAGCAAGCAAGGTGGCATGCTACCTTCAACTATGCCTGTGTAGGAATGTCTCCTTTTTATGTCTCCTTATGTAAGTTATTGTTGTGTAAGTGACCTGCACTCAATCTTCCGTGTTTCTGCCTTCTGTCCATTGTAGGCAGCTGGGAAGAAGGTAGACATGAGAATAAAACAGGGTAAAAAGGGAAAGGGGTGAGATGAACTCACCTCAAGCCAGAGCAGACCCAAGAAGAGCTCCAAAACTGACAGCACTGTGCCAGCAGAAAGATTTCAGGACAAGACTGACATGCCAAGAAGCGCCTGGTTGGGAGACAGTTTTCTGTGTGAGGAAGTAGGGAGCCTCCGCTGTAGGTACAGCGCAGTGTGTGTGGATCCTGCCTTCCCTGGCCTGCAGGACACCCCTTTGGCAAAAACCTCTTTGCTGGAGCACGAGAGTAGTGGGATTTAGGTTGTGTGTCAGTACCCACTTAATTTACTATTTCATGTGATGTCTGAGAGGTAGTAAAGGGGATCACTGATCATCAGAAGTGAATGTGCTATTTTATGTAAGATACATCATCCCTTTATTGATAGATATAACTTGTTCACTCTCTCTGTAATTCACAAAGGACAAGTGAAGGCCAAATATTTCAAAAGTAGTTTTAAAGTGAGGCACGTAGCTGATAGGAAGGGTATAACCCCTCCTCTCCAACACCATTTCTCCCTTAAAAGAAACAATGCTATTTTGTGGAAAGTGTTGACATACTAGAAACTATTCCATTGCTTTAATATAGAATTTCAGCCTTTCTGTTTCCAGGGATATTTTCATAAAGACATGGTCTTTATTGCTTGAGAGATCATCTGCTCCTGCTGCTTATTCATCACTTGGAGCCATATAACACAGAGTCCTCTGTGACATCATAATCATCTCCAGAGCAACTAATTATGATGCCACAATCACAGGAGTGACTTCAAGTGAGGAATAAGCAGCAGGAGCAAATGAACTTGCTAAGTAACAAATAGTCTGTTTTCAGGCAAATGTCCCTAGTAATAAAATAGGAGGAGGGGGTAAACCTACAGAAAACATGACACATGGCCAGAAATGTTCATAAATAGAACACTTAAGAAAGTTTTTCACAAACGCCTCTTTGATGTCACATGCTGTAACTAGTTTCTCTGGGCCAAATTCTGAAAAATTGGAAAGACTCCAAGGATTTGAGTCACTTGTATTGGCAAGCAAACAAAACACACCAGATCACTTCAGATTTGCCCCAGTGCAACTCAGCTTACTATGGAAATAGAATTAAAGTGACATCGCAAAGGGCTTTTAAATTCAGATCAGGTAAAAGACAAGCAAATTGATCAGAATTGATAATTCTCAAAAAACAGTGGCTTTAAACTGATTTAGTTAGAATTTGGCTTTATAGGGTCAATGGTTATGCATACACAAGCAGGAAAGAGAAACCATCCTTTTACCTGTGTTATGAAGCTACTATAGTCTTGAATGATGGCCTTGAATAAGAAAATTAAAATGGTAATGGTGACTCTAGCAAGAAAATACCATGATCAACCTCAGTTTTTCTTGTGAATCTGCTTGCTTTCAAATAAAGGGAAAAAAAGAAGAGAAGATACTTTGGAAACTGAAGACTGTGTGAAGAAGTAGTGCAGTTGTTGCTTTTTTTTTTTTTTTTTTTTTTTTTAATTTACAGGAAGTATACTCTATACTGAACAACAACAGATGTCCTAGG